TGCATGTAATCGTTCCATATTTGGAATTTGCATTTCCTAATATGGTAGGATGAAAATACCTCATATAATATCGCAAAATTACGGCACGATGGCGTTACAGTGACAGATAATAACTAATATTGAGATCTGAGCATCAAAAGGGAATCATGCTCAGTTATGCGATGTGATCATGTCAATTCCTCTGAATGCAGAATTTTGATGAATCTTGTGTTTTTGTTCACAGAGGAAAGTTCTTGATTGCAGTCTGGGCTTTGCTGCTGGGGTAAGTTTTATTGAAATTATCTGTTACTGTATATACACATGTATGCATTTTATCACAAGTTTTAAAGATCAGAAAAATTATTTTGCCTCATCACAAGAAATGGATAAAAATATTTATTTTGTTGATTTTCACTCGGGATTAAAATTTTGCAATACCAAAACAATCAGATCTATGTTTAGAATTTTTGAAATACATGCTGGGGGGTCACTGTTTTATATTTGCTCTCATATTCTTATGTAATAACATTGTCTGCTGTTATTTGTTGTACCGGATTCTGCCGTAAATTCACCCTGGGTCGTTATACAGCAGTTTTTAGGTTTTAAAAAAAATATAATAGGACCGTCAAATTTCTTCTGTGCTGCTTTCAATAACATTAACATATTTAAACGAGCTATGGTAATTTGAACATGTTGGCATCATTCATCATTTTGATTGGTTAATTAGCGATTTGACCTGGTCAAAACATGGCGGATATTTATTTCTACAGAATCATTCGCTTACAATAAAAATAAGTTAAAATTTATTTGCATTTCTTAACAATTCAACGAATTTATTTTTTGCACGTTATTATAATCACTAGTAATAATCAACAATTTAGGCGGAGTACTTTTTAATCCAGCAAGAAAAAAAATTGTATAAAATTTTACATTAGCTTTTGCAATACTTTCCTTCGTTTTGGGTGGTCGAACTGCCGGCCTTGAAAGTCTGCATAGGTGGATTTTTCAAGGAAAATATACCCCCAAAAAATATTTTATGATCATTTTTTTGAAATTTTGAACCCCAAATAAGGGCCCATCAGTCGTGAATTCGCCCAGGGTGATTTTTCGAATGGGCAAATTTACGGCAGAATCCGTTATGTGTTCTTTTTTTTCAAAAACCATTCAGACACAGAAAAACATGTCCTCTGAATTCACAATAAACAATTAATCATTTAATCATATGCAGTACATTTCACTCATTGACTGCTATACAAAATTGGAAAATAAATGTGTGAGGAGCAAATGATGATAAGAAGTAAAACCTTTGACCTAAGGAGTATGTATAGTGTCTTCTAAGAGTTGCTTGATGTAGGTGTGAGGTGGTTGTCATTTTCCCATGGGTAGTCTTGATTATCCAGCAGTGTTCTGTAAATCTATAAGCCATCAAAAAGTGTATCTGTTATAAGTATTAGTATTATTAATGTGTTCTTTTCATAGATATATCTAGAGCAGTGATGTTGTTTCCATGGATACATCTGAGGCAATACTCAAGATTCTTGTCAACAGTGTAGAGGTGCCTTCAACAATATTAAAGATAATTGTTTTTATTTTAATTGTCAGGTTATGTTGGCAGCTTCCTATTGGTCACTTCTAGCACCAGCAATAGAGTTAGCTGAATTATCGGGTTACTATGGTGATGAGGGTCAATGGTCTTTCATACCCAGTGCTATAGGGTTTGGTATTGGTGCTCTATTTGTCTACTTTGCTGATTGGATGCTGCCATATTTGGTATGTCTGACGTTACCAGTACTCCTCACGGTCACGAATGTGAAAAGATCATCATGACATACATAAAGAGTCATGTTTCATTCATTACTTTAAAAAAATAACACACCTTTAAAAGATATGCTGTGAGCTTTTCCCAGGTTATTATACATGTAGAGAAAAAGAACCCCTGCTATAATTTTGGATATAGCCTAAATATCATAACAATGAATACAGTAGAAGTTATTAACATATTCAATTGTTATGCAAAATAGCCACAGTGCTAGGCTAACTACTTTCCCTGCTGTGCTTCAAACATGCATAAACAAGGCCTGTATTTGGAAACTAACACCACAACATACTTTAAATAGTCGACAGTATAGGAACAAATCTCCTTCACTATTTTTCTCTAAAATTTGTTCATGATTGCCATTTTTTCAGTCTTTAAATGTTCTGATAGATTTGATTTCATTGTACAATATAATACCGGTAATTATATTTTCTATCTTGACAGGGAGTGTGCTCTCCAAATATAGCCTTGGCATTAGAAGCTGAAATGAAACACAATAAAGAAGATAGTGAATCCAACACTTGGAATGAATATGAGAATTCAACCACTATTATAGGTTAGAACAACATATGTGACTTCTTCCATGATCAAACATTTATGATTCTAATTGAGAGAAATGGACACCTAGTATATTTATTTGTAAAACACACCTGTGTCTTCTTATAATACATGTAGTTAAATTCTAAAAGAAAAATGCAGAAAGTCATATGTAATATATGTACCGTAAAATCTGTATTAGAAGCTACATTCCTAATAAAAGTCGCACCCATTCTTTTTGAATAATTGAGAACCAAAAATTCAACATTTCTCATATGTGTAGATGCTCTAATAGAAGCTGCATCCCCTCT